GAGAAAAAGGAGCACAATTATCTCAAACAGTCATCCCGTAGGATGAGTCATCAATGGGAGCTGTCATCGATTGGTTTCGTAAGACTGGTGCCGTGGACGGCAGTCGAGTGGTGCCGTAGACGGCGGTCGAGTGCCGTACACGGCACCTAGTATGAATGCGGCCAGTGAGAGCGGTGTCTTATAGTGGGTAGGGGTACTGTTTTGTGAAATGATCTATGGATATTTATGACATATAAACGGTTCCAACCATTCTCTGAATCAGTATTGTATCCCATGTCGAATGTTCCAATGTTCCAGCGTTCATTTCATCAGAACACTTCTTAAAAATAGATGATCATTCTTTCATTTCTTCGTAGTTCATCTCAAAGGCTTTGTTAGTAATAACAAGTACTAAGAAGCGTGCCAAAAGACTCGCCATCATGATACCGGCCCTTGGGAAATGATTTTCAAAAGTATTGAATGGATAAACGTGTAAAGGGTATCGTAAATTTCCAGTCGTTGCTCTTCGCAGCGGAATATCTTTACGTAAGACTAGAGACTATAAGTGTTAGAGCGAAATGTTGTAGACCATAATCAGAAGAAGGACAACTCTTAAATTGAGAAACAGCAGTAGGAAGAGGTATGATGAGGAAAATAGCGCCCATTCATCCACGCCATCCGCTCTTTTTTAGCTTATGCGGTTTAGAGCAGGATCGAAGCGCGTTAAGGAAAGAACTGTCTTAGATGTTTGCTTGATGAAGGCCAACTGATAATCTGGCGTCCTTGAAAGAGGCGTCAAAGAGGGTGCGTAAGTCCTGTAGATTTTTACCAATGTTCCGTAAAAGGTAACCATGCCAAGAAATGCACGGAGCTGAATGACCTCCTTCGACATTGATTATAAAACCCAGGTGAAGTTTTTTTCTGTTTGCCGGAAAGAGCATATCTGGAGTCGCGCATAAAACGCGTCGTCCTAGACTCTTGGGAAAATGCATCGAGAGGTGTGTTGTGGTCATCGGTAGTCCTGCCTGCCGGTTATGATGTCTTCGAAGTATTGGGGGCAGTACCCACCAATAGTATAGAATTGCTGCTGGACATTCTCGGGGCCGCTTTTCCTGCACAAGGTAGCGTTGGATGAGTGGCTTCGGGTCACGAGCGGCCGAAAGCTCTTGTCGAATCCCAACTGGAGGTGAGCTTGGCCTAGGTCAAGTTGCAAGAAGTAGGGTCCTTCATTAGCTGCTTTCATACTTCGACGAGCGCGCCGACACGGAAAGCGAAAAAGCGCCTTGGAGGAGAGTACGGTCAAGCTACCTCTAACTGGCAGACACGAAACTCAGTTCATAAATTACTTTTCCGCCTGATTCTTACAGTAAAAGAACCCGTGAGTAGCTGTAAGAAGCACAACTGATGTTTGGAGATGGTCCGGACAGTATTTTCGAGAAGTAAAGCTAGGTTGAGGGGACATTTCAACCTGGTCTTATGATGAACTAATCGCAAAAACTAAATAGTTTAGTGCAAAATAGATAGGTACCGCGCAAATATTATTCGTGGGTTTTTCTGGGTTAAGCCAGTGCTGAAGGAATTTTTGAAGAAATAATATCATCATATTAGCAGCTAAATCATTGTGCTTTTTTCCGGAGAAATCATCTCTCTTACCCATCCTTACTAATGCCAATTACATCAATTGCATTCATTTTAATTTTTCATTTAGCAACCTCGCTTGCTGTTTAGGTCGTTTTCTACAAGGACATTATTCTGCACCAATGGAGAGGGACAGCCCTTAGGGTAAGTTGTTTGCAATAAAAAGTGTTTCCGGACCAAAACTATGTTTTTTTCCACATTGATGAATCCCCTTTTGATATACACTCTCAAACATTCAACTTCCACTCACAGTTGCATTAACGTTTTACATGTTAGGATCTTTATACTCCCACTCGAGCCTGGCAAACTCCCATCGACCCTGGAAGAACGGAGAGCTAGACCGCGAGCATCAGTTAGGCTCTGATACCCTAACCTTTCATAATTAGTGACGCTAGGCAGAATCCCAATGCCGCTTCCGAATAATTCTGAAAATATTCAGAAATCAGATTGAGATTGAATATTTCTGAGTTTCATTTCCAAAATCCTTTCGGCTAGAGCGCACTACGAAGATGTACGAAGATGAAGAATGCTGAAGTAAACAGCTATTGAGGTATCTTTACAGCTTTCACATGAGTGATTTCGACGATTGCCGAGAAGTTCTCAGCACTACATGTTTTTGCTCAAACGGGCATCTGCACAGTGTCTCAACAAAGGTGGGAGATTGACAGTATTGAAAGAATTGCTTCAGTTCATCTCTCGAGTGTTTTCGAATGATACTTTAGCATTCTCATCACGCTCCGTTCCCACATACCTTGATGTCGACTTCCAGTTCAGTGATGAATTTATTTCCAAGCACTACAGGAGGCTGAGTCGGTGGGAATCGGATCTCTTAAAAGATCAGCAACAACGCACATATGATTTCTACAAATCGTATTCGAATGTAAGCGGTAGAACAAATCTATGCTTATCACAAGAATTCGCAAAATGCGTTATCCCATTAGTTATTTGCTAGAACGTAATTCTGGTAGCACACCGAACGAAAAAAAAAAGAATAAGTAAAGAAGATTCTATGTGAAAATGTGACAATACGCGTCTTTTTAGACAATAGAGTACTTGAAGAAACTGGAAAAGTTATTCTCACGTAGTGGTCAAACTGTTGTGCCGATTGGGAGCTGTGTAAATGGACTGAAGAAAGCGAATTCAGATCTGGACATTGTGGGTTTCAAGAACTGAGCCTTCTCCAAAGCACTTCATTTTTTTCATTTTGTGTTCAGGTTCTCATCACTCATCAAAAAGATAACCAAAGAGCGGGTTTCGAGAAAAAATTCGCGAATGTCGAGGCGTTTAGACGGTGGTCTGGTTATACACTACGTTCTTGGGTTGACCCCTGACTGCTATACTTCAGAGCACATATGAATAGAGTTGCTGCGACTCTGAATGGTTCTAAGCTCGTCCAAGCTGGTTCAGTCCATCAGCTTGTATTTTGCAACGTAAGCGCTACATTGTCCAGCCATTTTCGTTAGTAATGTATTATTGTCACCAATCATTTGCTGTTAACCTTCACCGAGTGTTCTCTCTCATTGAAAGAACTCTGGCCTGATGCAAGTGAGACCACGTCGCGCGACACCAAGGGGTGGCTAGGAAAACGAGTCGGAACCGAAAGTCATCGGTCGCTTGTCTATAAACGCAGGTGGATTCAGTGTATGGACTCCCTTTTCTGCTGTATTGGGTCGGTTTATAACTTCTGTATCCTCGTAGTTGTATACTCTGTAGCCTCTACAACTTGAGAACTCGTCCGCCTTTGGATGTGTGCGCAGGTTTTGGGGCCCCTATTTCGCCGTACCTAGGCTGTTCTTCGACCTGACGACTTTCCCTAGGCTATATTTGCTGCACTGCATCGCACGTTCACGAGACTTCTTGATTCAAAATCTGACTTCTGTGCCCCTAAGACTTTTAGACTGCGTTCTTTATCTTCTGGTCATGTATCACTTATTTATTACTACATCTTCTACCAGAACTCATTCCCCGGTTCTAGCATAACACCAGTGCCTCTAGCCGTTTCTTCTTCTTTCTACGTGCCGCGCTTTAGCTAGCTCACCATTACAGTCTAAAGCCTCAACGTTCTGTCTTTTATGCCTCTATAAGGTTCTATAGTTTTCGAAGCATTTTTTATGTTGTCAAAACATTTACTAATTTGATGCTTGACTTTCACGTTTGGCTTGACTTTCAAAAACGCGCAATTGTAACAAAATTTCTAATCGATGGAATAGGTATCAACCTAGCTGAGCGTGACAGGGACTTCGGCAGTCCGCTAATATTAGGGAGCTAATTAAACACCTCATTCCAATGTGTTTTCGGGTGCCATTATTGAAATTCCGCAGTCATGATGGGACTTGTGTGGATCTGCAGTTCAATAATATTGGTTCTATACGTTCCTCGCTTTTTGTGAGGACTTGTGTCGAGGTCAGTGATTAGAATTATTTCATCCTTCGATAAACGTTCAGTGATTATTTGCAGAGAAGCATAGTTGTGCCAATTGTTATTCACTGGTTGAATTCATTATTTGATGTGGTCAAGCTGAAGGACAGCCGTAATGGACTCTTTTCTTCCTATCATCTCAATATGTTGGCTCTCCACTTCCTTCAAGTAAGTTCAGTTGTTTTTTACTCGCCTGCATAGAATAACACCGTACTCTTTCACAGTCTTTCTCATCCAACTTTTTGTAGTCGACGACCTCCTAATGTAGCTTATTTGCGCATAAACATGATTCCTTTTTATCAAGTAGTGACAGCTTCTCTCATTATAAAGATTGACACACTAAATAAAAGTGTGGCTTGCGATCAAGGGGTTTCAGAATCGCAGTTAGTAAATTCCTATCATTTGGTCAAAACAAAGATCTCTCGAGCCTGCTTGCCAGCTACGTAATAGCTCGTACTCCTTCTTCAGGTGTATAAATAGTACTCATACGGCGTAGTGAATATTAATAGTTATACCATGCAGTGACCATGGAGCGTACTATAGATTATATTTTACAAGTCCGATCGCCGGGCTATCCCCTTTCCTGTCACAAGGTGGAGGATACACGGTTCACCCTCCATTTCTTTCCGGAACATATTATTCTTCTGTAATCATCAAATTTTTCAAGGGTAATTACCCATTTAGGCGGGCACTACCAATTCGACGAATACGACATGGAGCGCATACGATTATCGCTTAAGCTCGCAAAATCCTCATCTTTTTTCTCAATTTCGACATTAACTATCCTAACGGGGCATAACCGATACTGGGCTTTTTGTCTTTTGAGGTTCTCATCAGTTCCTGTAAACTGCTTGCTATCACCTGCTGCAATGTTCCCACTTTTTCACCTGTATCCCTTCCGTATTTGAGCGCTCCAGGTCCATAGGGACGAATAGAAGTGAATTTCGGTTTCGGTCAAGCACACCACACATACACCGACAAACCAATAGACACCCCATGCGCGTTACATATAGTGGTATTACCTTCACTGTGCGAAACGGTGATCTTCATAGTTGTTTCTAGCTGTTGGAGCTATTCTGTGCTGGGTCTTGCTGGGAACTCGGCGAATGCATTACTTGTCTTCCCTCAAACTACTATGTGCCTGCGCCGCTTGATACCATGTACGCATTAATATATGTGTGCAAGTAGTACTCCGAAAAGAATCGGTTGCCACACTGATCTTCATGAATAGTGGTGTCCCAATTACCCATATTCTCTTGGAGTCTGGGTGTTTTGAACCAATTCGCCTTCTGATTGGAAGGGGATACAGCTACGAAGATGTCAACAGTTACGCCACTTGCTTCACTTCGAAGTGACGGGAAATCCGAGGATTGAGCATTTGTTTTGTACCTCATCCGTGACCAGACATGTGACGCAACTTGTGAAGGTTGCAGGGACATTTTTCAAAGAACAGTTCTTCTGTCACTATCTATTTTCACATTTTCGCGTGTCACTATGCAGCGGAAATCGGTAACTTCTATCATTTGGAGGTTGAAATGATGACGTTTGGAAGTTGAATAGTTCCGCTTGAGGTATGCACCAACGCATTCGATTCCCATATTTCGTGATGGCGTTTCAATGCGTACTGTGGTCTAAACAAGTCTATAAGTTGCTGGGGTATACCATATAAAAGTCACTGCTTCTGCATTCCAAACGAGTCTGATACGAATTAACTAACCATGGAGAGATTGGGGTTCCAAGACTGCCTAGACCAATGAGGTTTGCATCCCTCCAGGGTTCATCGGTCCAGGACCAAGCATGTGATAGTGCACCACTTTAAACTTTTGTAATCAAATCAATACTAGAAATAAATAAAATGTTACATTACAGTAGGTTTCTGTCACAGTTGGCAGTAGTACACAAATTTCCAGTGAAATCTTTCTAAATATCATTTTTAACTGTTTTAAGTCTGGCCCGGTATCCTTCTGTTCGAATATTTTTACACACTGGCCACAGCTTCATCCATCGTTTTCATGGCACCGTGCGGCTAAGTTTCTAACTGCAGAGGTTTGTAGATATTTTCACAACTTATGTTCAGATTGCTTTCTCATTTTTGACTGACTAGTTATTATGTGTTTAATTATGGAGTTCGGATCGTAAACTTCTTTCTAAAAAGGAAGATGAATGTGATGTCAGTTAATTTTTCGACCAGAGCAATAATAAATAGCGAGTAATGATGAAGAGGGAAGGGTGGTTGGACATCCAACATTCAACTACATTTAGAAAACTCAGAGATGAATTAGAATTAACCCTTTGGTTAATGTGTAGAGGCAAGGTTTTCAGTAGTTGGAAAATGCCGTTATCAAGTTTTCCTTTATTTTACGTTCATTGCCTTCCAGACTGTCGATGCAAAGCATATTTATGCACATGATGTACACCCTATAATAGCAGCTGAGACCATTGTTAGAATGATAGATTACTATAGCCAGCTCGATCTCCAAAATACCGCGATAGGTATTGACGGGAGGACCTATAGACGGTGAGTGTTTGCTTTCAGTGAGTATCTATTTCATTTTTGAATTTGAGACGTTTTTTTGTCTTTTTTTCCAATTTTTGCTCTTTTGCATCTCTTTTGTTTTGTTACGTATCCTAGTTAATTGTGCCTTGCGATTTTCCTTCTTCACTCTCAAACTTGTTTCTGAGAACAAGATTGCATTCCTGGACATTGGTTCTACTTATTCGCTCGCTTGTTTGATATCGCTGTTTTTCTTCAGAGTCTCAATCCTTCCTATCCTCTGAGCGGTGTTTTTGTCATTGTAGCATCCCAAACTATGCCAACAGGAGTTTTGTGGAGGTGTGTAAGCACATTTCATTTCTAATAGGCTCCACTTTCGATGTCTCTTATGTTCATTTCACGTGTAGAGGGGCTTCATTTATACTCTGCGTGGAGCGACGGGTATCGGTGTCGGTCTTTATTCGATGCTACTCATGCGAGGATTTCATAGCGGAAGAGGTACTTTTGAGTGCACCCAAAGTTCTCAGTTGTGCCTCCTCCGCTTCAATCGTTTTCGTTTTTCGATCACGTCGATACACAGATCGACGCGGAGGTTGTCGTCTTTGTCTTCGTCCCATTTCAGCTTAGAGCATGAAGACTGCCGAACCTTTCCATTTTCATCCCAAAACATGAGGCTGAAACACTCGTACATCTTTCTTCCAGTACCACTGGACGTCACCCATTGCTAAAACGCCAAAAAATCGGAGAGGAAGAGTAAGATTGACGCGTCCGACAATCCGCTTGTGGGGTGGTCGAGACGAAAGGGCTCTTCATCCCAGCAGGCAGTCTCGTTACAACATCGGACGAGCGGCGATCGTACCATTGCCATGGAGTCCGGTAAGTGATGTTGCCATATACTTGCTCGCATAGGTACTGGTGAACATTTAAAAATGCACTCAAATACCCCTCACCAAACACCAAGTAGTTCGAAGAATCATAGCATCAGGCTCAAAGAGGATTGAGCGCTTCAACGTTGCTGTTTGACTTCTACTCATAGCTTGCCGACTTCTAGCTTATTCTGTGGAATCGCGTCAGAAATCAGGAAATACGGCATTTTCTTGATTTTTTTTGACCTTCATTACTGTCGTTAGAATTACTCACTCGGGCGCTCTTTTTGAGTTCCTGGGCTACTATGTGAGTTTTCCATTTCTCTCACCTGGAAGTGTTTACCTACTCAGGGCTGGCCTCCTCATCTAAGTATATGTATGAATATTCTGCTACCTTGAAGTGTTGTAAGCAAACATTTTATGAAAGTCATGTACATCCTTGTACATGCATCGCTCAGAGCAAGAGCCACAATGCAGTTCCCAACCAACATTCCGGGATGCTCTTAAGAGCTGCCTTGTATTGCAAGTCGGCGCATAGTGCGCTTGCCGCACTCGATCGCGGTCGTGAAGGGAAAGATTCGAATCCCCACTGAAAGGTTACTACAGTCACCGCGGAACCTCTGCCGCCAGGGGAGACGGGCGTTAGGAACCATTTTGGGTAATCCTTCGCCGCACGCGGCTGTCGCGGACCACTCATTTGCCGTTATCACAGCTCTAGCGTTCTTCATGCAGCTCAATCGATATGCGATCATTATTTTATGCATAATTCTACTATTAGTACTTTTGCTCTTGTATTTCTAACCTACTGCTGCATCCTGCTACATTCCTTCGCGCGCGTCGCCCCTCTCACCGCGACGCGACCATTTCGTTCCTAATGCACCACACCCCTGCCGCCAGGCGTGGGAATTCGGGGAGAAGTTCCGCCACCGGGGACGGAAGTTTCAGACAGCAAAGCTTCACCTAGATTGTGAGGTGTCATCATATGCGATTGCACATTTTCGTTCACATTGTGGCGTTCTTTCTTTCCCTATTCCGTAGTCGGCTGATTTGTGTAATTGTAGCTCTTTAACGGCTGTAAGAGGGCGGAAGTTCCCAAATTGTTCACTTCAAGTAACCTACACCTAACCTTCACTCCTCTGATTGTGGTGAAAAGTCATAGTGTAAAGATTTTTTGCAAAAATCATGTTTTTCTAACCGATAAGTTACTGCCTTACTTTATTCTTTATCTATTCTTCCGTGTATCCCACATATGGGTTACTAAAAAAAAATGAAATCTTCAGATGAGCGCATTTATCTTTGCCAAACGTTTTCATATTTCATCTTGTCTAGTGAAGTGAGCTTATGCAATCGGTGGGCAGTTCGCTCATCGTGTATGTTCGTCTCTTGCAGTACTTGCAACATTCGCATCTGCTGAATTATTACTTGCATTTCATTTATATGTATCTATATTACTACTGATTTCAACTACGGATAACTAAGAACTTTAGAGAAATGGAACAAGAAGACGAGAGCTTCATACAAATTGTGGACCCCTACTTTGAGGAAGATCCCCGTACGCCGCGATGTAATGTGAGGAACGGTCCATCACTTGTTGGAGAAACATTCTCAGCATTGAAGTCGGAGCTCGAGTGTGGCGCTTTCCGGAAACTCTTTCTCATTCGTTAGATTTGAGTGCCCGTCTCTGTTCTGTGTGTGTAATTTCATTTTACATAGATTCATTGCTAATGGGAAGGTAGCAGGGGTGCTTGCTCGAAGCTAATGCTACATAAGAAATAGATGAATCGTGAAAAAAATTGAAGAACTGAAAGCAATAGTGGTTTTGCAGCTGAACAACAGTTTTGTTATCCTACACCTGTCCTCATGCCGGATCTCTTCGCCTTCAAATCGCTCAAACATTTCTGCGTTCTACTTCAATATTTCCTATATGACCTTATGAAAACGCTCATACTGGTCACTTAATAGTACATGTTGAGTAGTGTACCGGAGCTGGCATGACTGAGCACCTCAGGGCGATGTATTTCAGCATAAGCATCAACCCCTAGTTAGCGCGGAAACATGATAGCGTCAACTTCCACTTCCTTCTTTTCGCACGTGTATGAGGGTGGGCTATCCATTGGCAGTTCATGCATACTATCAAGCGTTGCTGTATTGAATAACTTTATTGTCTATATGTTGATCATAGTTGTTTTTTGAATTTGCAATTTGCGGGATCAAGAGTAGCTGTTGTGCTCCCTAACAACTATACCTCAATTTCTTTGATCCCTTCTTTTTCGAATCTTTTGATGCCTTGTGAACTGCTTTTTATGCGGTTCTGAAATATTTGCGCTCATACAAAGATGGGTTACTCATTTTTTGTTCCATGTTTTCAAGTCATCCTTGCAATGCATATTGAATGCGTCTTAATGAACTTATCGAAAATTGTTTACTTTCATTGTGTTACTGGACTCATCCAGAGTGTATTATTTCAGTGTTGCACGTTGTAGGTAATAGATTATCCGCTTTTAAGAGCAAGTGAAATTTAATGATCCTAAATATTGTATAGATGCTTTTAAAGTGCGATTTCTTGTTTCCGGGATAAGGGAGAGGAAGGGAACAAGTGCTGAATCTTTGTCCTTCGATGTATACTTGAAGCTCGTCGGCATTGAAGTGCAGGACGAGTCGGTTTCTCAGCATACCGCCTTGGCAAAATTGAGAGATTTTGTGATATTTGAATCTGTCCTTTGTTTATGTTAACGGAATTCTCAAATCCACTCTCATAAGTCCGTCCAGTGAATCGTTCGGAAAAGGAAAATCTAGAAGGTAGGGTTCGAAATCAGCATTCAAAATTAAGTATAGTCTCAAACGGCAAGTTTGACTGAGAATCCTCCCCTTGTGTTTGTGTGTTTTTTCATGGCTGTGGCTCTCTTCTGATATTTGCACGTTCAATTCAACACGTTGCATAACCTTGTTCGTTCGCTATGTTCGTAGAAAGCGGGTGCGCTTCGTTGCGCGTGACTGTCGAACTAGGTCACGCCGCAGCCGTCGCACGCGGCGAGTCGGCCCGCGATATTTGACGGGCGTCGCAATTGCCAGCGAGGCATACGCTTTGAGTTTGGTCCATGGCAGCCAGTTCAAGAAGAAGATAACACAGACAAATGCAAATCATTTGCTCCAAAGACACTTGGTGGTACTGTAATGTCATCTCGAGACCTCAGTGTGATGCGCCGCGGGCAAAGTGGGCGGGGTGACCTACATTCGACGGACACGCGCAACGGACGTTCTCCGTAGAAAGCTTGCATGCCATAATCCATTGGCTCAATGTTCCACATTGCTTTGCGTACAGTTTGTGATGATGGAAACGCGTCACACAGTCGACGTGCAAAGTTCACATTGTGGCTCTGGAATGCTATTGTTGTAAATTTTTTAAGTGGAAAGGGCAGTACTTCCCTCAAAACGAAAGACGCTATAGGTCAACGGCTAGCACCGGTACTAGCTTTCTGTTTTATGAGCAGAAAAGAAGGGCTGTTATAGCGCGCGTGCCCATTATGAACTATCGGTAGTCGATGAGTGCTGCGTATTTGCAGCAACGGAGCAAGAGGTGGATGAATTGTTCGACATCCTCAACCGGCAGTCACAATTTACAAGTCCACGAGAGAGGTGGCGCAGGAAAGCTGACTACATCTTAACGCGCAGATAAACATCTCAAGTTGACGGTACAATGTGAAGTGGAATCGTAAGAACAGCTTGAAGCTCATTTAACTCATCGATTCACTTTCCTTGTTTTGACTTTATGTTTTGTCTTCATGAAGTTTTCACGACTGGGATGGGAAAATCATGGCGTTTGACCCTGTACCATGTAATGGTAGGGGTTGAGTTAGCCCCTTAAGAGAGTGAGACGACGAGGGGGCTATGAAAGGCTCGTAGCCGTTATCGTGATATCCCTTGTTGAGGTGATGAACGTCATAATGGTTGCAGCGATGAAGAAGTAAATAAGTAAAGAAGGCGATAAGTAATTATGGACAAAGTAGACTAATATAAAGTAAGTCTTCGTGACTAGATGGTGTGGAAAAACTATTACGTTTGACCCTATACCATCTAGTGGTAGGGATTGGAATGAGTGGTCCTGTGATTGAGATGGTCCTTCCAAACAGTGAGACGACGAGGGGGTACGAAAGGACTCTCGCCATTGACGACGATAGTCCTTGAAGAGTCCAAAATCAAAATGTGATGAGAGGAGGCGATAGTTCGGACTGCGGCAGATATCCTTAATATATATAAACCACAAATGTCCGTTTTCCTGTTTGTCTGTATGTCTGTGTGTTTGTATTTCTGTTTCACTGTAACTATCTTAAACGGCGTCGTTTGGAAATCAAATAGAACAGCTCAGACAGGTTGGAACAAGTGGGGATTGGGGATGAACAAGTGGGGAGTGAGCCGAACTCCTTGGGTACACGTGATCTAAGCTAGGCTCCGCCCACTAGAGGCGGGGCTTGCGCGAGTAGTGTAGTTCACCGGAAATCTGTAACTCCTTCGCTCCTGAGTCTAGAGTATTCAAATTTGGCAGAGATGTAGGTGGCAAGATGAAAACACTAATGGTGGGTGGCAGGTGCAGACTCCACCCACTGGAGGCGGGGCTTCCTCAAAAACAGTCAAATTGGACCTGGGTCGTTCAAACTTGGCAGATATGTAGGAGGCAAGATGGGAAAACTAATGGTAGGTGACAGGTGCAGATTCCGCCCACGAAGGCGGGGCTTCCTCAAAAACAGACAAATTGGACCTGGGTCAATCAAACTTGGCAGAGATGTAGGTGGCAAGATGGGAAACTAATGGTAGGTGGCAGGTGTGGATTCCGCTCACTGGGGGCGAGGATCTCTCAAAAATAGGCAATTTGGACCTGATTTGATTTTTTCAAGAAGGGTACGTACATTGATAGGGACTGATTATGAAGTTTGGTTCACCTCTTGCTTACGACCGCTACCCAGCAAAGCAAGAGGTTCATTGAAGGATCACGGTTTCTCTCTGCTTTGATATTATTCATGACAAAACTTATGCGACCGCTAACAATCTTGGATTCTTACTTAATGATGTATCAGTAGATAAAAGGAGCTACATTCATAAAGATTTGATAATGGTATTATTATGACTCGACAACATTTGTGAATACCATTCAAGGGTTTGGATGATTACCAGTTAAGTCTTCAATGGGTCATTGTTTTTAACATCAACAGCGACAGATCAAGACAGACAGATTCTCATCAAAGGAATAGACATCGGCACTGGTTATCTTTGTTTTATACTCGTTTGCATGCCCTATGTTCTTCTATCGAACTTCGTGTTCGGAAAAGTATCATTCGTTCCAAAGAAGGAGTGTGCTGTTTGCCGTTTATCACGACTCTATCATAAGAAGGAGGGAAGCCTGGCGTTAGCCGGGCGGTACCACTGTCTCTATATATAAAGCGGTAATTTTGTGCCCCTTTTTGCATGCTCGTTTGTGCGTCCTTCCGAAAGTCACGTAGGCACGACGAAGAGTGTGAATGTCACGTGAGCGCGGTTGGGAAACAGTTATGAACTGGGAAGTCAAGCGATACTGTTCATATTGGTCCTCTAACAAGTCGTAGGTAAGCGGTAGTGGGCATGTGGTGCACGCATTAGCGTGCGTAGCCCAACTGGTTTTCTAGATATTGCAAAGCGGAGCTAGAAACTCTTGCGCAAACTCGTCCATTAATTTTCTGGGTGTAGGTGTAAGCAGCAGTGTAGTCTCAAGCGTAAAACGATTTAGAAGAGAAAAATTCTGATCTCGCTCGTGTTTCCATAAAATGTGAAACATTGCTCATAAATGAAGTGAATTCAGAGTAGGTAATATAAAAACCATGAAAAAGAACAATGTATGATAATTAGACGGCAACGGAATACCACCACCATCGTCTACATGGGATAAGGTGCGAAGTCGGTGATGATCGGCAGAACTGCTTTCCGGCGGTTGGCGACAAAAGCAAGAGCAGTTGCTACTGGTTCTGGAGAAGGTGAGATGTTTTTTTTGGTTATCTGTGCATTACTCTTGAGCGAGGACATTAACTTCGTATCTCTTTTTTACGACATCTGTTATATATATTTCTAAGCGTAATGTTAATGAATTCGTACTACAGCGCTTCCCTTCAAAATCATAAGCGAGGCTGGAAAAACTACGTTGCTATCGTCTTTAGGTCGAAGTAATGCAGCATTTGTCGAGACCATACGGTCACGACATGGTCTCCAACTGGAGTCTCTGGACCAGAAATTGGAAGAAGCCGACCGACGGAGAACAGACTCTCAGGCCTCTTGTTTTCTGCTTCATTCGTGTTTTTGAAGCCCTCTTTACTTCTTCTTTATTATGACTGAAAAATTTCAGGCCGCCACCTCGGAACTACCTCAATCTCTTGCAAGTCGAGTACTCTCTCGTGGATGTCGTTTTGTCCGTGTCGGATCATCCGTGAATGGACTTTCCTCAGATAGTTCAGATATAGACCTAGTCAGTTATGTTTCGGAATCCTTATCCCATCAGATAACTTTTTATTAAGAGTTCTGTCATTTAACGCAAACTTATATCGCATATAGTCCCTGAATGAAATTCAATCTGAGCTGGAAAATGCTTTCATGCTGACAGTGAATAGTTTCACCTTTCAGGCGTAAATGAAAACTTTCAGAAGGAAATTATCAAAGCCAAACTGTCGTGGAAGCCCTTGCGATTTTAAGTAAATCTGTCGACATCCAAAATGATGGGTTGGGCATAGGGCAAGACCAACAGAACACACGGGAGCTCAGCGAAGTCCGCTTACAGAGGGCGGGGTATGCACAGTAGTGGGCGGTGCCATGGGCAAAACTTGCTAAACAGACTTCATAACTGCTCAGACGCCGAAATAAAAGTGAGGGTTGGATCAACAAGTGAAATGAAGGGTGTTCATGGGCGGTGCTCGGGAGGTTTTCGCAGTGGGTGGTACCTAAGCATGAGTCCATATTTCAATTCAGCGAAACCGCGGAGGCGAGGAAAAAACGAAAAGGAGTTAACAAGGCTTTATGCGTTCTAGGCATACCTAGGCATCAAATCTTCGCCACGATGGGCTTCAAATGTTAGATTCTTTTTCAAAATTTAAATACTCTGTTCAAAAACGTTCTATAACGCGGGAAAGTGGTGAGAGGCTATAGAATTAATGTGGCCAAATCCATAGAAAGGGCGGGGTTCACACCAAAATGGGCGGGTCTTAGATCTAAAACTCATACCTCCTTTCAAAAACGTTCTAGAGCGCGGGAGAAAGTGGTGGGGGGGGGGGGAGTGAAAGAAATGTGGTTATATCCCTAACCAGTCGGGCCGCCCGGCTAATGCCGGGCTCCCCTCCTTCTTATGGGTTCGCCCGGCTACGCCGGGCGCTCCTCCTTCCTGTGAGAAGTTT